AAAAAAAAAAAAAAATATTTCCATGGTTTTGGTAGCAATACTTTTTCACTTAGCCTGATACAGTGGTTGGTTTATTTGATAAAGGAATATATGAAGTCATTCCCTAGAAATAATGGCAAACAAAATTGCATTCATTTACAAAAAGAACTAAAATTTGACACGGATACCAGAGATAGTGGAGAAAAGAAAGAGGCACATGAAAAATTCTCCTGCTGGTGGGACACTCCCACTTGAAAAGACATCCAAACCAATCCAGAACAGCTGGGAGAACAGAAGAGTCTTACTTATAAAACAACCAGCAGAAAAAAAGCAGACTGTTTGGGTATTAAAATAGCAAGCAAGTTGTTTGCTTTAAAGGCATCAAGGCAAGAAAGGTCAGCCCATCAGGGAAAACCCCCTTGTAAGACTGAAACTCAAAGGGAACCCATGAACAGTCTGGTATGCTGGATGGTGACCACCCTGGTCCACTAGTGAGAGAAAGTAGGGGAAATGCAGCAATGAAAACCCAGGCTGAGTTTGACCATGTTCCACTGGTCTTGAGATGAAAGAGTGAAGAGGAAGGGCTGGCTGGTCTGAGGTTAAGGGAGATGTGTGAACTCCTGACTCCACGGGAACTGATACACACTAGGGACTATTGCTGAGAGTGAAGCACCCAGCTGATCCCAAATACAGGGAGATGTGCATGAACTCCCAAACAGGCAGCTAGTACCCATTTGACCAACCGTGAAAGGCAAGCTGACCAGAACTCGACCAGATGAAGATAAAAATCCTTGATATTGTGAGCAAGTGTAAATTGCTAAAATTTGATGAACTGGACTTTGCTTATGGGTGCAGTTACTCAAAATTCCAACCAAAATGGAAGGATTCTTCATATCACGGAACCACCTTTGTTTCCTAAGTGTACTGGATTGATAGGAATGAGAAATATAGGCACTGGTTATCAGAAATGGGGGCAAGAGAGGCTACAAAGACATGATGTAGCTAGTTTATTAGCTTTCATGAGAGTGCTCAGTAGCAGAATGAGGGGGGTAAGGTAGAATCCCCACTGAACAGTTTCCCTCTTCTTCAGCCGGATCTCGTGAAAGGGGATGGGAGGATTTATGACTCAACTGTAAGTACCTGTTAGCAGGATTAATTGCGATTGTCATAACTGTAACTGTAAAGATGTGCAATTAAAAGGAAGGAGTAGTTAATCTTTCATTTCAGGAAGAGAAGAACCCAGGACTATCAAGAAGGAAGAGCATGAGTAGAGCATGAGATCCCTACCTAGAAAAGTGCTGGCAGCAGACTCAGTGGCTATGTGCCTATGGGCAGGAGGCTGGCTGGCAGAATGTGCCCACTGAACACTTAAATAAATACATGTTTGTTTGTTTGTTTTTTATAAGTATACATCAAATATTTTTGCCTTGTTCATTTGTGAAAAACAAGATGTAACTGGAGAGCCATAAGGCAGAAGTAAGATAATGTTGCAGAAAGGGAACTATAATCATTGAGTTGAAAAAGATAAAAATAAAAAAAATAACCATTTTTAAAAAATGTGCGATGACTAACAACACTAGTGGAGTATGCTCACTATGGAATGGTCAACCACTCAAGATCAAAAGTGCAACATTTACCTGGAGATAGGTTTCAGAGGAGTTGGAAAGGAGGATGGAATAGAGAAAGGAGCCACAGGGAGGAAGTGAGATAACTGTTGCATTGTGGGGGATTGCAATCATTGAGATGAAACTAAGTGTGAGATATGTGCAGCGTAAAACCAATGATCTGTTCTGGAAACCCTCACTCAAGCCACAATAAAAGGTTTCAAAAATATTTTACTATTGTCAAATATAGGGCATTAAAAGTCAGGTTTCACTGCTGCATTATGTCACCACTATGTTGCTGTTAAGTGCCATCGAGTTAGTTCCAACTCATAGCCAATCTGTATAGGATTTCCAGTGAGGTGCTGTTGAGTTTGAACCACCTACCTTGCAGTTCACACTGACCTTTCAGTCCAGTGTATATTCTACAGCGCGACACCAGGGCTTTTACTTAATACCAAAATTACATAAACCACATGAAACTTACTGCCATCAAGTAGACTTAGACCCATAGTGACCCCACAGGACACAGTAGAACAGGCCCATGTGGTTTCCAAGGCAGTAAATCTTTATTGAAGCAGACTGTTATAGCTTGCTTTCATGGAGTAACTGGTCAATTTGAGCTGCTGACCACTTGGTTAGCAGGAGAGCTATTTAACTACTGTATCACAAGTGCTCCTCAAAGTGCAAAACACAATAAAATAGTTACAAGTATCATTCTCACTAACCTAGAAATAGCAAGACTGCTAACATGAGTTCTCAGGTTAAAAGGAAATAAAGTTTAAAGTTCTGCCTATGGCTAAAACCTACCTATGAGACCTAAACATTTGGAGGCTCAATGCCCTATCATTTACCATCCTCTTAGATGCTCAGTCTCCTATGTGAGACCCTTATATACTACATCACTTTACAATTTAATTGTGGAGGGACCTCTAGACAGAAGTTCTTGCATAGATTACTTTGTACATCCTGAACAATAACTATATGTAAAGCCAGTTTTTAACAACTACAAAAATCAGTGCCATACAATGTCAAAGCACTGTAAAATGTACCCAGAATCTGATTTTCTATGCAATTTTCAAATGAAATGCTACCTTTCGCTTTTCTCCAAATCTGTTGAACAATCCAGGAATGTTACTATCTGCTTTTCCAGGTAATTGTCGATCTTTTCTTCAGTCATCATCATTGAATTAAAGATATTTTGAGTTAATGAATTTAAGAATATTGGTTCATAGCTCCCTTCTAGCAGCAATTGTAGGCAAAATCCACTCTCTGTAATGGAAAGAATTAGTTCAATAAGCCAAAACAACATTTTTTTTTATTCTATAAAGGATAATGACACTGATAATTAAATATATCATTGTAGTATACAAAAACTTATATACATATTATGTATGTACACATACACACATAGGGGCTTCAAAATGTTTGTGGAAAACCCCCAGTATTTAATTTTTCACAAAACTTTGTAAAGCCCTCTCATACACACACACACACACACACACACACACACACACATTTAGAATGCCTGCTGTACATTAATCACAAAGCAATGAGCAAATCCTCATCATCTACAAGCATCACCTCAAGTTCAACTGTACTGATAAAGGCCAAAAAGGTGGAAGTGAGACCCAGGATAATATCCTTCATTGGTAAGAATTATAACCCTTCTGCTGAAAATGTCACCAAGATACGCAGGTTCTAAAGACTTCATCATCTGGCTCCCCCTTCCAACATTATTCTGCCTCTTGAAGTCACAACAAGCTACTGGTTTACTCTTCTTTTCCCCTCCCCGCAATGTCCCCTGCACATTCCCACCTTGGACATCTTTGCACTTAAGATTTCTCTTGCTGAACTCTTCGCCACTTGCCATCTTATCCTTTAACCAGAAATCTACTCTAGATTGTCGTCCATAAAACTTTTCCAGACTTACCACTGCGTTACACACACACACACACACACACACACACAAAGACACTTACATTCTGTGCTATATTACTATTTCTCTTCTGGGTCCAGCTTAAATCCCACAAGCTGTGCCTATATCCCAGGAGTAAATGTACCTTTTAACTCTTTATCTCTCCAGTAAATATGCACTACTCACAAGAACTACACCTCTGTTGCCTTGTTTCAGCTTTTCTGTATACCTGCCGTGTAACTTTAAATTACATAATCAATCTGCAAAATGGGAATTAATGGTAGAATCTATCTCACATAGCTATCACAAGGATTAAATGACTTGGTACATATTAAGCACTCCAAAAACTAAAAGACATTGCTATTGTTATTACTGAATCTGGGAGGTAATAAGTTTTAGCTAACGATACCCAAAGAACCCGCGCACCACGCCCACCATGTCAAGGATGAAACCACGATAACCCTTAAGGATACCGCTAGACTCTTACAGAGGGGGTATAACTAAGAGGTACGAGAATCCAACCACCGTTACCCTTCCTCCTCACAGGCCCCACGCTGGCAGGTGAACATCTCTCACCTGAGCCGACGACCCCCTCCTGCTTCCACTGTTGTCGCTCAGCCTCAGTGGGGAAGCCCCTCAGAATTGCCAACTCCGGAATCCACATCTCCCCGGACATCGATGCAGCCAAGACGCGCTCCTACGATGGTAGGAGTAAGGTGCAAAGACGCCAAACCTAAAGGCGACAATTACTGTAAATACCCTACAGCCTCAATACCCCATGTGCGGATACCAATATAAGGAGGCAACCATGACAGCAGCGCAGGGACGCCTGGGAAAAAAAACACGCTTCCGACTTCCGCCTGGGACACAACGCCGAGACCAGGCTATTGAGCATGCCCAGTGTGCTCGCCACTCCAGGGAGGGGAAATCGGTGGAATTGTGTGTGTGCGTGTGCGTGTGTGTGTGTGGCTGAGACTGAGGCTGATCTCATCCCGCCCCAACAGGGGGCGCTGCCCGGAGCAACTGTAGTGGGGCTGTGGCTAGTTTACCGTGTGAACCTGAAGGATAAACTATGGACCAAAAGGACGGTTTGAGCCTTAAGGTTGCGGTTCAAACCCACCAGCCGCTCTTCGGAAACTCTAGACAGAGTCACTATGATTCAGAACCAATTCAACAACAAACCAAGGATTGGATTTTAAATGCAGCTCAAAACCAAAGTTCTGGCTAACAGCCGTTTACTTGATGAGCTGTGATTCTGAAACCTTTTTGCATCACAACCCTCTGGACTACCTTTGACTACCCTTGTTGTTGTTATGTGCCGTGGAGTCGGTTCCGACTCATGGAGACCCTGCACAGAGTTTCCGAGGCTGTAAGTCTTTACGGGAGCAGAAAACCTCATCTTTCTCCCGCGGGACAGCTGGTCGTTTCGAACTGCTGACCTTGCGGTTCAGAGCCCGGTTGGAAACCACTTTGCTACCACAGCTCCTAGACTACCCTAAGCAGTGGGTTTATGCGCCAGACTGCAAAGCCGTTTGAACTGCAGGGTTGACGGTTCAAGCTCACCAGCTGCTCCTTGGTAAACACTATACAGGGTCGCTATGGGTCGAAACCGACTCGATGGCACTTAACAACAACAGCAAATCCTTGTTCTCGCAGAATGCACGTGGGTTCTTACTACTCAATATTTGGAATCCATTTGAGGTAGTAACATATACACAAAGTGGAGTCGTGAACCCCCAGATTAAGAACCCTTTCAGTATAAAATTGGAATGAATTAAATAACTGGTTATGGCAACTGCAGTGGCCATAGAAAATAATCATTGGTGCCCCATCGGTCCACCTCACCCATTGACTCCTGGGACAGGTGGCATAACTGCCTATCTTAGGTAAGTCTCTGCCAGCAGATGCACTAGAAGGTCTTCTCATTAAGAATTCATTAAAAGCTATTTATGTAGGGCATAATATTTGGTCGCTGTGTCTTTTTTTTTTATTCAACACAAAAATACACAGAATGGTAGCTCTATAGGATAAGCATTGGACTTAGAACCATAAAGTCAGTGGTTCAAGCATATAGGAAACCCTATTGGGGTTACTATGAGTCAACACCGACTCAACAGCACTTAACAACAACAACAAAAGATCAACAAGTAGCCCTGGTAGTGCAGTTATTTCAAATTTGGCTAATAACTGAGAGATCTAACCCAACAGAGGTTCTGCAGAACTAAAGACCGGGTGCTCCGCTCTAGGGGGAAAAAAAAAGATTCGTCACTCTGCTCAGATGACTAACATTAGTAATAATTAGAAAAATAGTAATAACAACTAATGTTGGCAAGAATTTGGGAATACTGCTGATGGGGATGAAAAATGGTACACGTTGTTGTTGTTAAATGCCATCAAGTCGATTCCAATATAGCGACCCTGCACAGGGTTTCCAAGGAGCAGCTGGTGAGCTTGAACCGCAGACTCTGCAGTTCAAACGGCTTTGCAGTCTGGCGCATTAACCCACAGTGGCACACAGAGCCATTGTTCAAAGCAAACAAACAAAAAACGGTGTGATGGCTCCTCACATAATTAAAAACAGTGTTAAACAATTCTACTCCTACTCATATACCCAAAAGACTTGAAAACAGTTGGTACTTAACAACAACGACATGGGCAAAATATTGAATCAAAATACTTTGATGCAGAAAGTAGCAAAGATGGGAGGAATACACCAAACTACTGTACCAAAAAGAAATGGTCAGAGTTCAACCAATTCAAGAGGTTATTGTTCCTAAGTGCTGTTGTGTCGGTTTCTACTCATAGTGACACTGTATAGAGTTTCCAAGGAGCAGCTGGTGGGTTTGAACCGCCACCCTTGTGGTTCAAAGACCAGTGCTGATCCTACAGTGCCACACCAGGAGTCCTATTTTAAGCAATGGTGGTGGTGGTTATGTGCCATGGAGTCGGTTCCTACTCATAGCGACCCTGTACAGGGTTTCCAGGGCTGTAAATCTTTATGGGAGCAGAAAGCCTCATCTTTCTTCTGAGGAACAGCTGGTAGTTTCGAACTGCTGATGTTTTGGTTTGCAGCCCGAATTCGTAACAACTATGGTGGCTGGTGACTGTGTGCCGTGGAGTCGGTTCCGACTCATAGTGACCCTGTAGAGGGTTTCTGAGGCTGTAAATCTTTACAGGAGCAGAAAGCCTCATCTTTCTCCCACTGTAATGGGGGAGTATCGCTTAAAGAGTACTGAATTTAGGTTTACAAAACCAAATCTACTACCATCAAGTTTGCTTTCAACTCATAGACTAAATGAGTCCTGGCATGGTATTGTAGCATACGTCCTGGACTGCTATTTTCAGGTTGGCAGTTCAAACCTGCCAGCCTCGCCTTGAAAACCCTATACAGGGTCGCAATGAGCCGGAATCAACCTGACAGCACTTAGCAACAGACTGTAAGTATGTACAGAAACAGACAACCTCATCTTTCTCCCATGGAGCAACTGGTGGTTTTAAACCACTGACCTTGTGCCTAGCCAACACTGGCATGAAAAAACTGCATTGATTAAGCGTTCTTATTGTTGTCATGAAGTGCTGTCGAGTAGGTTCCAACCCATAGCGGCCCTGTATAGGGTTTCTGAGGAGCAGCTGGTAAGCTCGAACTGCCGACCTTGCAGTTCAAATGACTTTGCATTCTGGTGCATTAACCCACAGCACCACACCAGGACTCCTTGATTAATGGTAGAGCTGAACAATTGATTACTCTATAGTAGTCACTAAGTTACACACTTGAATTGGTAAAAGCTGTGTAATAAACACATTTACCAAAAATAATATAATACAAAACACAACTGAGGCTGCTTAAGCCCAATCAAGTACGTCATGACATTTGGTTCCTTGGATTGGAGAGTTAGGGTAATGGTTTCATGGAACATCCCATTTAATTAACCTAAAACCGTGTTTACTAATCTCTTAGTTCATCCCAGTTACTGAATCTTTCAGGGGTTATTCAATGTAGATGGAGTCTCTGGGTGGTGCAAAGTATATGTGCTCAGCAGTTAACCAAAAGGTTGGCAGTTCACATTCACGCAGAGTTGCTTCAGAAGAAAAGCCTCGGGATCTGTTTCTGAAAAATCCTCCATTAAATCTCTATGCAGGAAAATTCTACTCTGACACATAGAGGTTGTCATGAGTCAGAATTGACTCCACAGCAAACAGATTTTTCAGTCAGAGATGAGTCTCATGTGTTACCTTTTCCTATTGCCTTTTTAGGATTGGATTTTAGGGTCTGTCAAATCAGTTACCTGCCTTCCAAAATGGTGTTACCTGCTCTCTTGTCTTTCCTTTCCTTGTGGGTTGTGTCTTAATTTTCTTTTCTTACAAAGTTTTAACGTGTTTTGAAAAGAGCACAAAATTATATGCATGTGTTCATTATGCCATGCTTCTCAGAATCTTACGTTGTATTTTAATGACACCTTTCTCTAAATAGCTTCTATCCTGTATGTTTTTGAGAGGACACAGGATCTTTTCACTAGCTCAAACATGGCAAACCACCATTTCATGTCCTTCGCTCACTTTCATATTTATTAACAAATGTCACATTTAATAATAATTTTTAAAGTGTTTGTAGCAGCTTTTTTCTAAAAGCCCAAAACTGGAAACAACCCAAATGGTGATCTATCCATACACCCAGTTGCGGACCCCAGGTGCATAGGAGTAGAATTGTGTTTCATAGGATTTTCAATGGCTGATATTTTTTTAGAAATTACCTCTGGGTAGAATCAAACCTCTATTAGCAGCCATGCAAGTTAAAGTTTGCACCACTCAGAAACTCATATGCGTACAGTGGTAAACTATTCAGCTATACTAGAAAAAGGAGCCCTGGTGTAGTGCTGTGGACTGATAAGCTGGACTGCCAAGTCAGTGTGCACCGCAAGATCAGCAGTTCAAGCTCACCAGCAGCTCCCAGGACACCCTATGCTGAGTCAGTATGGGTTGGAACCCACTCTACAGCACTTAACAACAACAATAATAACATATTGTTTTAAATGGCTATTTATAACAAATACATGAATCTCAGAATAATTACGTTTAGTGAAAGAAGCCAGTCTCAAAAAGAGCACATATTACGATTCCATTTGTATATAAATCTAGGAAAGTCAAGCTAATCTATATGATAGATGACAGAGCAGTGGTTGCTAATCTATATGATAGATGACAGAGACAAAAATAAACAATGTCCACAACCGGAACATACCAAGAATCATGAAAGTGGTATAGGACCTAGCGACAGTTCTAGCCCGTCTTCATGATCCTTGTACATAGATGCTTCTGTTGTACATGGGGGCACGATGAGACAGAGTTGACTCAATGGCAGCTAACAGCAATAATAATAACCCAAGAAGGGGTGCTGCTTTTCTCATAATGCTCTGGTCCAAGTCAAAATAAGACCCTTCTCTTTGATAGGCCTTAATTCAATTGACACAGGATAAGGCTTTTAACAAGACTGTATTCAATACAATGCAATTTCAAAGGAGACATAAACCAATATTAGGACCTGTGCCTCTACTGACCCCACCAGCCCCCTCTAGGGGCTATCACTCCGTCTACTTCAGAGCTCTCTCTCAGATGCACCTGCCCTTAGAGTCAAGCAAGATGGCCCTCCTACGCCCGGCCCTCTGCTTCAAAGGGCTC